GGACTAGATAATCAGGCTAATTTCATTGCCCTCAATTTAGATAATCCTGCCACTTTGACATGTCCTGGGCAGTCAGTCTTTGATTACCACGGGATAATATTAAATTTACTGATCAACATCTAAATCGTGGTTGTGTAAGAATACATCCCTACCTTTAGGAAGAGAACGTTGAAGTACTTATGGATGGAGAACTGTAGTTATGTAATTTATGTAGCATATATACATACATACATATATAAAGCATGGTGCAGGAAAAATGTGGTATGTATGTGTATATGGAGAGAGTGAGAGAGAGAAAACAAATGAAGCAAACAGAATAAAATGTTAACAAATCATCAGTTAAAGGACATATGAAAGTTCTTTGCACTGTCATTATTCTTGGAATCTTTCCTATGATGTTGAAATCATTTCCAAATGAAATATTTTTAATAAAAAATAGTATGATCTGTGGTGTTATGTTTCATAGAAAACTAAGACAGGATTGCAAGTGTTAATAGTAAAAATGATGAGGGAAGTCTTCTCCAGCACCATCATCTGAGTCTAGACGGGTGAGTGGGCCTCTGGCCTGGAGAGCTGGGAGAAAGTTCAGGGGAAGTCGTTGCTCAGAAATGGGAACAAGCCTGGCAGGTTCTTAGGCAAACAGGACCTTGGTCTGGAGTTGGGCTGCAGGGGAAAGAGGAGGAGGCAGGGATGAGGTCAGAGAAATAATCCAGACCGAGGCAGCACCTGCAGGGCCATTTGAGAAACAGCAGGCATTTGAGGGAAGGTCATGGGGGCTGTGTACCGAGGACGAAACAGGTTCTGTCCCTTGTTTTCAACACTGTGTTGAAACAGAAGGAAGAGGAGGCAAGCATAAGGCAGGGGAGCAGTGACCGGTGATCATCTAGGCAGGAGGTGATCACAGGCTTGAATCAGTTGTATTCAGTCTCTGGCTCTGTGTGAAACTGTTTACTAAGGGGTTGAAGTCCAGGAAGGGTGTTGAGGGCGAGGCCAGGCCTTCACAGCAACCACAGAGAAGCTGCTCCCGGGGCACACTAAGGAATGAATGTTACCAGGATAGAACTGGGTTTCAGACAGTTGTGTGGTATTTCAGTGAGGACGGCACTGGCAGCTGTACCCAGGAGTCTGGAGTTCATGGGAGAGGCTGAAGTCAGAGGTGAGTATGCAGATTTGAATCAGGTGCTCTAAGGCAGTTCCTGTCTGATGGGTATCGTGGTCTATATGTGGTCCCAAGCATTCGAACCCCCAGACATATTCAAGTTGCATGTAAGCCACCTTTCCTCCTGTGCTGTCTTTCCACCCCAGGAATCTTTCCCCTTATTATTAACCTAAGAGTGGGAGGAGGCATCTTTGCAGGACCCCAGGGCCATTGCTCTATATTAAGGAACTTCATTTTTCTTCAGTAGGACATTGGTTCCTATTCTTTTTCTTTTTTTTGGGGGGGGGGTTACACCCGGCGAAGCACAGGGGTTACTCCTGGTTCTGCACTCAAGAATTACTCCTGGCGGTGCTCAGGGGACCATATGGAATGCTGGAAATCGAACCCGGGTTGGTCGTGTGCAAGGCAAACGCCCTACCTGCTGTGCTATTGCTCCAGCCCCGGTTCCTATTCTTTTTCTTTTCTTCCTTGTTGACCTTTAGCTATGTGCTTGGGGATCACTCCCAGTAGTGCTGGAGGAACCCTGAGGTATCAAGGATTAAATTCTAGTCTCCTGAATGGAAAATGTGTGCTCTAGCTCTCTGGGCTATTTCCCTGGAGTTTTTGGTTTTTTTGTTTGATTTTTTCTAGGCTGAGGATTAGCATCACATATGCAAGGCCAGTGCTGGACTGTAAACCATACCCCAGTCTTACTGTTGGGATTCCTGTTCTCTCACTGGCCCCAATCTGCTCTAGGTTGACCTTGAAATTTGGAACTTGAAGGTCCTGCAGTGCATCTTTGTGTATCTCTTCTTGAAAGCTCTGGTATCTCGCTTGCCTCTGAGGTCGTCCTTCCCTTTATCTCTCCTGACCTATTTTCTCCACAATTTTCTAGAAACCCTGTGGTTCCATACCTATCCCACTAAAACATCCCCCATGTGTCTCGGGGGGGGGGGGGGGGGGCTTCCCTGCCCCCTGTTTCTTATGCTAAGAAGTTTTTCTATGATTCTTTTTCTGGTACTGGTGGAGGTGGGAAGTGAAGGATTTTCCAGAGCAGCAGTGCTCAGGGCATTACTCTTGGCTCTGTGTTTATTTATTTTTTCTGTTTTATTTTAATTTTATTTATTTTTAAATGAATCACAGTGATATATACATTTACAAAATTGCTCATGATTGGATTTTGCTTCAACATCTGTCCCTTCACCAGTATACTCTTCTCCCCACCAATGTTCCCAGTTCCCCCCCACCCCCCATTGCTCCCCACCTGCAGGCACTCCCCTGCCCCCTCCTTTTGAACTTTATGGTTTGCAATACAGATAGTGAAAGATTATCAGGTATATCCCTTTACCTACTTTCAACATTCAGTTCCTGTCCAAAATGATTGTTTCCAACTATTATTGCCATGTTGGTCCCTTCTTTATCCTAACTGCCCTTTGGTGCCCCTCCCCCCCACACCCCCCCAACACACACTCTTGTGGCAAGCTTCCAACCATTGTGGCTTTGTGTTTAGGGATCGCTCCTAGCGGTGCTCAGGAAACCATATGTGGTGCTGGGGATCAAACTTGGGTCAACTGTGTGCAAGGCAAGCAAAACTACTTCCTGTACTATCTGTCCTACCCACCTGCTTCAGTTCTCTGAAAACATTCCAAGTATACTTAAAGCTCAGACTTTCATAACTGGACTTTCACTACAGATAATAAGGGCACCACACGGATTTCGTGAGTAGGAAACATTAACATAGAAGAGATTTCAAGTACTGGTATCAGTTGAGGGAGGATATACAAGGATGAATTCTTCACAGTAGAAAGGACAAATCTAAGATAATTTCCAAAGAACTGACAGATCTTGTGAACAGTTGTGTTAGAACAGGTAGGTGTTAAAAGTCTTAAAGAGACCTTAACCTTTGATTTAGTAATACTACTTGCAGAAATTTCTCTAGAAAAAGAATTTAGTTATTCAAGATAGATTATATAAATGGTTGTTCATCAAAGAATGAATATATTTGTTTATAATTGAACATAATAGTCTATAATTGAAAAATATTAGAAACACCATCAGTGTTAAAACTTATACCGTGGAATGCCATTCAAGCATTAATGATGTTGAGTAAGTATTGTTAAGAAAAGTGTAAACAAAGTGGTACTACATGGAAAGTATCATGTTAAGCGAAATGACTCAGAAAAAAAGGGATAGACATAGAAAGATTGCATTCATCTGGGGAACATAAAGTAATAAAATAGGAGACTAACACTCAAGAATGGCCGAGATTAGTACCAGGAATTTTACTCTATGGCTTGGAGGCCAACCACACAGGCTAGGGGAAAAGGGAGCTCAGATAGAGAAGGGAACACCAAATAAAGGTGTTGGGAGGATCCTCCCAGGATGGGAGAAGCATGCTGAAAGTAGACTATAGACTAAACATGATTGTCACCCATTGCCTCTTTTGCAAACCACAACACCCAATAAGAGAGAGAGAACAAAAGGGAATGCCCTGCCACAGAGGCAGGGTGGGATGGGGAGTGGGAGGGATACTGGGATCCGTGGTGGTGGGAAATGGGCACTGGTGGAGGGATGGGTATTTGATCATTGTATAATTGAAACCCAAACACAAAAATGAGTAAGTCTTCAACTGTACCTTATGATGTCTCACTATTAAAAAATTTTTTTAAAAAGTGTAAATAAGAAGTGCAAAAAGAAAATTACATATGGTACATCTGAAGAGATTATATTTCAGTGATAGTGATTATGGGCTTTCTTTCACTTTGTTGTTACTTTAGCCTCATCCTCGGTTTAGTGTGGTGGTGAGGAAACAGAGGCAGAGACTGGACTACAGTCCAGTGAGCAGCTGGAACAGCGAGAAATTTGTCTGGGATAAGAGAGCCAGGTGGGGAAGGGAGAGGGGGTGGCAGGATGTCTCTGAACTTGGACTTGAGGTTCTGGTACCACTAAGCAACCACCAGAGAACTGGGGCAAGCCTTAAAACACGATCACTTTATTTCCTCTTATGAACACTAAGGAGGCCAAGGGTGAAAGTAGAGACCAGTGAGGAAGTTACTGCAATGATCCTGATGAGAGACAGTTCTGTGGACTCTGGTGGCATATGTGATGGTGTTTGTAAACACCTTGGGAATGTTCAGTGGATGAATTTTGTTGGGTGGGATGGAGTGCTGTGACACAGGGCTCAGTGAGGAGGCCGTGAGACCCCTGCAGGGCACCCCCTGTGTATGTGTTATGGTCCCGAGTGACCCCAAAAGCATAGCAGGGGGCTTGAAGCTAGAGGTGGCAAGAATCAGTGGACAGAACACAGAGGGTTGGGATTTTGTTACAGGACAGACCCCTTGCCCTGAATGCAGCAAGTCACATCCAAATGAGATGGTCAGTCTTGGAATGCTGGGGAAGCCTGGATTCCAGTCACTGCCTTGGCAGCACACTGGGCTGGGGAGGAACAATTCGGGCAGGCTGCATTTTCACCAGCATTGCACTAGAAGACTCTGAGCAGATTTCTTAGAAAGACTAAGTGTTGCATGATTTTTCTCTATGTAGGTTGTGGAGCAAAACAAGACCCACAATACACCTTCTCTAATGTCCCTCTCATGTTTAAAGGAAGATGTATTATTGGTAATTAGAATAAGACTTGCTATAGAATGAACTGGTGAAAAGGTCAATGAGTCATCAGCTCAGAGAAGGGCATGCTATAGCAGAGAAAAAAGGTGAGAACTGAGGTGTCTTGCGGGAGCAGAAAGGAAGTGAGCAGAAAGGATTGAGCACAGACCACGGAGGGGAGTCCAAGAAGTGGAGGTGACGACTTCCAGCTGAGGAGCTTGGTAAAGGGAGGAGACAATGAATGGTAAAAACAAACCTATGCCACGCAGTTCTGAATAAAGTTTATTAAATAATATGTACAGCAAATGTAGTAAATTAACATGTCTAGCAAATCAATTCACTGCAATAAAGAAAAATAAATGAATGGAAAAATCTGTGTCTGCAGAGTACATGCTCTTGGTGTAGCATTAAATGGCAAAATACTTTAAATTAATTGGTTATATATAATGATGGTTTTCTGTCAGGATATAATTCTTGTAATCTTCTTTTAGCAATAGTCCATAAAACCACTGCAGATAAATAGGACTAAAATTTAAAAAAAAGAGAGAAACTATAACTGAGATAAGAGTTACCTCTTACAAGAAAGAATGAGTATTTTCACACTTTGCGATGGTTATTTTTGTGCCACAGATCTGCAGGTGACTTATTTGGAATTCCTTCATTTAAATAAAAATGCAAAAAACTTCATGACTTCCTTATTTTACCCCCTTCAGTTCAAATTTTTAAAATTCTTTTTTCTATACAAAGTAGTTACATGGGCTATACAAAGTTAAATATACATATTTACAGTCCCACTTCTGAAGCAAATGATATTTTTCTTTTACTGACCCCAGAGAGACTGCAAAAGCTAAGTCGTTTGAGGCTTGCCTTTACCCAGAAGCATGGCTAATATATCAAAATGTGCTGCAAGGCATGCTGCCAGTTAGTTGCACTTGCTATTAATAAACCTGTACAAACATTTCAGCATAAAAATAGGTATTTTATAATACTAAATGTCGGAAGACAAAAGAGCAATTGGAAACCTTTGATGTTTTGTCATATAGAGGAAGCTGAAGTTTGATGCGATTTTTAAACATGATTTTATTAAAGACGGTCAAATTGATGAGGCATACCTGGGTTTCTTGGAGCTATATAAATGCGTGAGGCTGGCATCATTTGCAAATGTGGCTTTACAAATTGGTTTTATTTTCTAGCTGTATTCAAAGAGGCATTTAAAATGACCTGACCAAGAAGCGCCCCCTCAAAAAAAAAAAAAGTAGAGAAGATCATGTTGTTAGTGGTTTGCGGCTAAAACAGGCCAGGAATCACATGAGCCAACTCAAAGATGACATTCGGAAAGGGGTGAAATGCTGCTGTGCACAGTGCATGGCCATCCACGCTGCTGCTAGATTCCCCCTGGGAGAGGGAACATGGAGAGTAAAAGCTATGTCCAGGAGGCTGCAACGGTCCCTCCAGAGCAACTGAGTCTGATCTAAGGGACATCAAGGCGGCCCTTGGTACTTCTCTCCCAACTGCAGTGCCACAGCCTTTCTCCCGCTGGCTTCGTTGAAACAAGAATGTCTCTGGGAATAGGTAACATTCCTTGTGTCAGTCCTGCACGCTTCTGAGAGAACAGGCAGAGAGCACAGCTGCTGTGGCTATCTGTGACAAGGGGAGGTTGCTGGAGGTATCCTACCAGGGGAAGCAGACACAGACACTGAGGCAGAGACACTGAAGACCAAACTTTGCTCATCTGTGAAGACATCCCACTTGGGGACAATGGTTCTGGGGGCAATTCTGCGCCCAGATTTCCTGTCCACACCCTACCCTCTAGAATTGCTACTCCTATTTGTGGGGAGGGTCAGTCTGAAGACTCTGGCAACAATTCCAAGTATTTTCAGCTACACAGAACCCCTCAGGCTAAGGTTCTTCCAGGACTGTAGGTGTTCAAAAGTGAGCTAACAGAGACAGAAATAGGGCAGTACTTTCTAGGATTCCTCCAGGGAAAATGTACCTCTTCCTCTCTCACACCCTTCTTAGCACGTATCACAGTCTCTCTTGATGTGGTATTTTGGAGTCTCTCTCTCATCACCTCTAAGTTCCCAGCGGACAGGAACTACTCATTTCTATCTTGATCTCTGTCAGAACAGAGAAGTCAACAAACATCCTTGAGCTGAGTGGAGTTGGGTGTCCACAGCCCTCATATGAAAGGATCCCCCTCCCTGGATCTGGGTGCTCCACCAAAGGCTAACTTCCTGAAGTGGCAGAACTGCCATCTCAATACTTGGAGGGGTGCCAGCACCTGCAGCTTCTCTCCAAAGCTACCCCAGGCTGGGTTACTCCATTCTTCGAGGTCCTTGAGCTTCTTTGGGGAGTAAAAGCAGAGACCCAGTGAGTCTCTTCCAAGGCATGGAGATTGTCTTGCTCATTGGTGTTCCTGGGATCTGGTGTTCACCAGTATCTGGGAAATGCATCAATGCTCATCTTTAGTTTCTCTGTGAGAAAAGGCCTATCAACCTCAAATTGTCCCGGCCAGAAACCAACAAAAAAGACAGGTTAGCTATGGTGCCCTGATATACTAAACGGTGCTGCCTGAGGGTGATTGTGTATGAAAAAGCCAGGGACATGGGAAACTTGCCCAGTGTAAGTGACCTTCAGAACTATAGGGCTTCTTGGGCTGTGAATATGGCTCAGTGGTAGAGCACTTGCCTTGCTTGGATGAGTCCCCGGGTTCCAGTCCCAGCACTTTAAATTAGCAACAACTATGGAAATTCTTGACTTAAGCACTTGGAAATCTCTCTGCCTGGCCACTTCGCTATTGTGGGCAAACCTATGTGTGTGCCTACCCCCCTTTGAGTTGAGTGCAGAGGGCACGGAGTCTTCACCTCCATTACCCCAGGTTCCTCAGCAGGTCCAGTGTGGGACTTGGTCTTGAGTAATTCGCAGGGGTGGCTTCAGAAGTCCAGGCTGAGTTCCTGCAGTGTTGCGGGATCAGCAGCCTCTAAGCAGCTGGGGGAGCCTGTGTGTGAAGTCACAGGAGAACAGGCGGGGAGCTGCCTGACACTGCAAGAGCGGGTTCAGGCTAAAAGACCTCTTTGAGCAGGAGCTGGTCATATCTGGACAGCAAGAGGTCTTTCTGGCCTATTGGCTCCTACTGGACTGGTTGGCAAGTCAGATTAACCAAGAAGGGGGAGGGATGGGGAAGGTTGGAGAGGCCGCCAGAAGCAGCTAAGGAAATAAAGATTTGCCTCATTCCTTTTTGTTCAACACACATTTCAACCCTGTCTGATACACCGTAAGCTTCGACAGGCCCAATGTTTCTCTGTCCCTCTCTTTTGCTTTCCACTTTATCCATTGCATTAGCTTTCTTACTGACTCAATGTTTAAATAAAGAGACCAGTTCATGAATTGGGTTTCATCCTCCAATAAAAATAATCTCTGTGCTTTTCAGTCTTCTTATAGATACAAAGGCTTTACATAGTTGCCTGGAAAAGTACCAAATTGCCTTGTCCTTCTTGAAGTACCTGTAAAAAAAAAAAAAGCACACATACACAAAATGAGAAGACTTGCCCATGTGAATGTAGAGCCATGTGATAGCCACCACCCGGAAGTTCATTGAGTAGCTTATGGTTCTAAAGTACTATCTTATCTCTTTTGGACAGCAAAATAATGCTGGGTGGTAGGCAAAGCAGGCGTTTCTCATACTGCTATTTTTCAGTGAGGAAGCCCAGACTCAGAGATCTTATGTGACAGGTCCGTGGTTTGGCCACTTAACAAGCAGCAGAAGCTGACTTGAAACCCATCTCCTGAAGCCAAGCCCATTGCCCTATCCACTACTTTTTTTTTCTTTTCATTTTTGGAGGAATCAACACATTTATTCAATCTAACTCTTAAAATCTTGGATATAAAATTTCCAAACTGTAGGATTCCTAAGTGTCCACTGGAAATGACCACAAATCAAACAGAAATTCTTCTCCTAAGCCTATGCCTAAGTCCCACACTGATTCCCTGTGTCTGTTATCAACTTTGTTAGGGTTCCTGCTGGGTCAGGCACATAGGACTATTGACAAGTGGGGGTGGGGGGAACCAAGACCTTCCTTGCCTTGGGGCTCTCTCTCTCTCTCTCTCTCTCTCTCAAGTCCAGGTGAGAAGTGGTAGACATATGTTTGTCATCCTGATCATTCCCTCACACTGAAAGCTGACCATTACACCTGTCCCCCTTGAATGTGGCTTAGAATCCTGCTGAACAGGATAGTTGAAATAGCCACCACCAGTGGGTTGAAGTTGTTGCCTGGAATGAAACATCAAAGCTGATAGAGTGTCGAGAACTTAGAGACAGCTTAAACAGCTAGCTGAATCTTTGTGTGTGTGTGTGTGTGTGTGTGTGTGTGTGTGTTTGCGTATGTGTGTGTGTGTAGTGGTGGCAGTAAAAGAAGCCACAGGGAAAGTGAGATGTGCCCTGATAGTTGGCTAGCATCTTTCTTGACAGATGAGAAAAATGAGTTCTGCTGGGTTTCTTTACTCAGTGTCAGCACTAGACTGCATTTTTTAAAAGTATTTGGGGAATCCAAAATATTTCTGTTACCTAGCTGCTGGGATGTCCCTTCAAAAAACTCAGTGCCTCACTCCCCACTCCTGGAAGAGTTTAAAACTAAAACTTGTGAGAGCAGTACTTATGTAGATCATGCCCACATGTGGCTCCTGAGAGCTTGAGACATGATTAGTCTAAACTGACCTATGCTGTAACTGTGTGTGGGGGTGGGGGTGGGAAAGGGGGGGGACATTGAATTTTGAACACTTACTAGGAAAAGAATGCAAAATATCTGACAACTTTTTTTTTTGTTGATTACACGGTCAAATGAGAATATCACTGCTGTCTTAGGTCTAATACAATGTTATTAACATCAGTGCCACTGGTTTTATTTTACTGTTCTCAATGTGACTTCAAGAAGAAGTAAAATGTCATACAAGAACTATTGGGGCTGGAGAGATAGCACAGCGGGTAGGGCATTTGCCTTGCACAGGGCCAAGCCGGGTTTGATTCCCAGCATCCCATATGGTCCCCTGAGCTCCGTCAGGAGTAATTCCTCAGTGCAGAGCCAGGAGTAATCTCTGTGCATTGCTGGGTGTGACCCAAAAATAAATAAATAAATGAATAAACAAATAAAGTGTTTTTTTTTTAAATAACTATTAGGTTTCTACCAAACTGGACTGCACCAGAGTTGCTGTCTTTTCAGATCTGAACAGAACAACTCAAGGCAGAGTAGGCCATAGGCACCTGGTGCAATAGGGTGGCTGATGGAAGCGAGACAAACTGGCTCCAGTTATGTGTAGGCATTGCTGTTCTCACTACTTCAGTCCTACCATTACTTTCCTTGAGCAAAACTTTTTCAGAAAGATCAGGAAAGAGCTAGTGTTTGGAAAGAAGATAAAGGTAAAGCTATGCATAGAGAGGGGAACTGACATAAGGAGTGAGTGTATGGCCCTAAAATCATATCCATGCATCCAGAACCTAAATGGAGGGAGAAAGGGCCTAAGTTCCAATACAAATGGTTCTATTTGCTATCCAGGTGACTGGGCCATTTGTTTAACCTCTACAGAACTCAGGTTTTGAATCTGTGAAATGAGGCTATTTGCGGAGAGGAAAGCAAGTGTCCGTTTTGTGATATAACCTCACTAAATGCTGACCTTTCCCACCACCTATCTTTATTTTAAATATGTGTCCTTTTTAATTAAGCAGGTGCTTTGATAAAAATATGGCATACATATGAACTTTTGAATATCTATATTTACACTTGAGATTCATGCTAAAGACTTAAGGCTCAATTTTTTTCTTTATCTGTTTTATAATGGTTTTTAGAAATAATATTCCAAATATATCCACAATGGAAATTCAAATGGAATTCAATGCAGTACATGTTGGCACAGTTTGTTTTTAGGTTCAAATTAGTGTGATCCACCCTGTCTTCAGAGGAAACAAGAAACCGGCTCGCCCAGCATTCCTAAGGATGGTGTAGGAATAGAGAAAGCTCTCCTTTCTCTGCAGGGAACACTGCTTTTTGTGTAGCTCATCACTACTAGTTAGTCCTTCAATACACAACTAGTAAGAAAAACATGAGGAATTCACTCACCAACAAACCATCCATCATCACATTTTTCCATGACATCAACAATATCTCCATCTCGGAGTTCCAATTCATCATCGTTCTGGGGTATATAGCTATATAATGCTTGGTAGCTAAATCTATAAATGAGAAAAATGAAAATTAAATGACTCAAACACTGGTAGGATTAAATAATTGGTCTAACAAACCGATTTCAATTAAATCTGCATCAGGTGGTATTTCCTACTAAGTGGTGAGAGAGAGAGAGAGAGAGAGAGAGAGAGAGAGAGAGCAGCGAATAGTGCACTTGCCTTATTTGGCCAACCTGTGTTTCATCCCTGTCACCACATAAAATCCTTTGAGTATTGCCAGGAGTGATACCTGAGCACAAAGCCAGGAATAAGCCCTGAGCACTGTCAAGTGTGATCCAAAAACAAAACAAAAAGGGTATTTTATGAGTGATTTCTTTAATAATAGCATTAGGGAGATATATTCAAATATAAGAAGCAATTTAAGCCTGAGATGACTGGGGGACTTCTAAGAAGCAAGTCATAAAGGAGTTCTTTTATTTAGTTTCACGTGGTAATGACAGAAAAGGTTTTTGTCGCCTCACTGGCAAAACTATCTTGAGTTTATTTACATGTCTACACACATTTCATTAATTGTTTTTAAAATATGGACATCATTTTTTCAAAGACTCCTGAAAGCATTTTGATTTTTGGGATTAAGAATTTTATTTACTTGCTAGTCTGAGGCAATTTGGACTACATTCTGTTCTAACAATAGTTGCTGAGAAAGTTGGAACTACTTGTGAAATTGGATATTTGCTTAGGCTACAAGGCAAAGCTTTGCTTTTATTTATGTCTCTGACAAGTACTTAAGAAACGTCAACTATGCACCAAATTCCTAATTCTGTTTAGTCAGTATTTTTAATTTATTTATCTAATTTTTTAGGCTTTTGGGCCACACCTGGCAATGTTCAGGGGTTATTTCTGCCTCTGTGCTCAGGAATTTATTCCTGGTGAGTTTCAGAGACCCTATAGGATGCCAGGGATCAAATCTGGTTCAAAGTGCAAGGCAAACGGCCTACCCACTGTACTATCTCTCCAGCCTCAGTTTAGTCAATATTTTAAAACAGTAGCAAGCAAAACTTTGCCTATGTGCCATTCATCTACTATTTCTAAAAGATGCCAGTGAATTCAGAGTGTGGATAAGAGAATGGAAATAAGAAAACAGAGTCAGTTTACAGAAACAAGAGATTCATTTTCCACAGCTAAAACCCAAGGAGTGATTACATTTACATATTTAGCCCAATGTTTTGGTACTTTGGTACTTGGGTATGCCTGTTAGAAGAAAAGGCTCTATTAAGAGGCAGACAGATTGTCAGTTGGCAAACTAATATAATTCTGATATCACAGTATTTGTCTGCCGTCTGCTGCCCAAACTGGTCTCTTTAGAATGCCTTCTCCCCTTAATGTCCCATGCCTGCTTCACTCTGGGAGACAACTCCTGACATCTCCTCTGTTCTCTGCCCAGACTGTGCAGATTGGCTGGAGAATGCTGCATTACTGTTGCTGCCTGGACACTGTCCCCTACCACCAATGTTCATTTTGGATGGAACCCTTGCTAGGCTCAGCATCCTGTTTCACTGAGTTCTTCCTTCATACCCTCTGATACTCCAGGCACCCGACTTAGCATAAGGCTTTCTTCTACCTGTTCATACTTTAATGTCCCTCCTTTCCAGTTTAAGTCTTTGCATGTGGACCCACCCTCCAGCAAATACTTCTTTACCCATACCTCTGTTCCAAGAGCCTGCAACGTCTTTTTATTTACAAGCCACCTGTAGTTATGTTGGCTAACAGGAAACATAGTCTGAACCAGCAACCCTTGGGGAAGCTGTTTGTTCCTTCCCCTCAGTTAACAACCCACATTCTTAAGTCCAATTGTTTACCAAGTATGTGAGAATGAAAGTATGCCCAAAGTACTTACAAATCTTGTGAGGTTTGATTCCTGTCTGGGGTGACTCTTCGCTGCTGGGCTTGAGGTTGCTGAGAAATGATTAAAGATGGTTTATTGTCAGAAGGGGATACTTTGTGATGAAAGTCAAGGGGGTGAGAAACAGTGCTGCAGTAATGAACAGATTTTTCGGCAATGTTTATGATCTCATTGCATACTGCTTCCTGTGAGGTGGCCCCGAGATATCCAGAAACCCCCATAAAAGTCAACATGGGGACAAAAAAAAAAGACAGAGAGAGGAAGAGATGTAACATTCCAGACGAAGCACATAAGTCCAGGGAAACAACAGAGTTGAAGATCCAGGTTAAAAAAATAGATATTCCAGTAGTGGAGTGCAGGAGGGATCCAGGCGTAAGCATGGAAAAACAGGTGAGATAAGGAAGAATTTGGAATTTAGTATGAATATTTTGTTTTAGAAAGGGCATCAGTTTAAAGGCCTGAAATTAGTGAATAAATGTTACAAATAACTCCAGGACAGAAATGCAAATATGTACCCCCAATCATGCACTAATACATTAATTTAATCCCACGTTCAGGCAGAGTAGAGGTATTGTCTCTAAAGTTCTCTGCTTTTTAAATTTTTTTTTTGAAGGCGTGGGAGTCCTAACATCTCGCTCCACTCCAACAGCCAGGTAATTCCTGTAAACAATGGCTCTGTGAATTAACCAGCCATTCCTCCAGTCTAGACCTTAGAATTCAGGAGAGATTGTCTTTAAAGCTGCAGTTGTATTCAACAGGCATCTTACCACATAGCTCTTTTCAGATTCTGTGAGATCAGGTCCTGCTCTCAATGAATGATGAGAAGGCTGTGATCATCAAGCAAATCATAAGGGAGACATTTTTAGCAGATGTCACATTGGAACGGATTCAAAATAAAAGCATGAGCAAATACACATACCACACCAGCATACTCGATGACACCGGATACTCGGGGCCTTCGGCCACTGAGTTTCCATGACAACATGGTGGGAGCACAGGAGAAAATGCAATGTACAGCGTTAGAAGCAAGCATCCAGGCAATGAAATGGCCCAGTGAGTTGAGAATGAGTAACATGGGGACCCCAGATTGGCAGAGGAAAGACACAGAGAAGCTATCTACAGGAGCCTACAGCCCTCTCCCATCACACAAACCGCTTGGTCTCCCGGCTCTTCGCCAGCCCGCATGGACAGGAGGGCTACTGTACCAAAAGCCAGTTTTGGTTATCATGCGGAAAAAGAACCTCCTCTGGCAAAGAAGGCTCCAGAAACTATCAGGTGTGCCTTATCTGAGGATGAATAAAAATAAAACCAAACAGAAAAATAGGCTTTTGAAAGTTCCTTGGTAATATCTGAAGTATCAAATACAACTGATCCCCCAGAAAAATCTGCACCTATCACTCCCCAGCCTGGTATGAGTTCAGGTAGCTCATAACAGAGCAGAATGTGCTTCCAGAAATAAGTATGTGCATCCCGAGTCAGTGAGAGAGATGAAGCCATGACTTCACTCCCCCCACTCAGGAACACAAGCTGACACCAGCACACAGGTACCACAGAGAGCAGGAGAGCCGTCTCTGCAGTGGGGCTCCCACAGGAGGGCCAGGAAGGCGAACCCTTTACTAGAAGATTGTTTGCAATCACTAAGAACTCCCCCAGCCCACCCCACCCCACCCTACCTCACCCCACCCCAGAGAATTCAATTCCAAGCCCTAGAAACCTCCCAAACTAAATTTTGTGTCTGAGCCACATCCAGTGATACACAGGGCTTACTCCTAGCTCTGTGCTCAAGGATCACTCCTGGAGGCGTGGGGGACCACCTGGGGTTCTGAGGATTGAACCTGGGTCAGCCACATGCAAAGAACATGCCCTTCCCCTACCTGCTGTACTATTGCTCCAGTCTCCCAGCAAACGAAGTATTTAAGGAGCCGCCCTAAGAGAAATCTCCCGCATAACCTGTCATAGTAGCCACAAGCCACAGCATCCTCCTGCCTCCCCTCCCTGTCCCTGGTCTTTTAAAAAGGCTATCAGAACTGTTCTGCAGCTGACCCACTTGTTTTATAGAGAGGCTCAGAGAGGGTGAGGATCTCTCCTGAGGACACACAGCAGACCAACATCTGTCTTGTCTCCTGGATTCAGCTCATGGCCCCAACAGACTTTCTCTTTCCATCTCAGACTATTCCCTACCTTAGCAATGTACTTGCTAACTTTCCCTCCAATGAGCCCTACAGAGGCCCTGGAGATGTGATCGGGTGGGCAGAGCATCTTATTTTCTTTTAAAACTCAGAATTACAGTGGCTGTGTGCCTCCCTCACTGGGTGACACTGCTAGGGAGAAAGAAAGTTACCAGGCTGCTCCACTGCCTTCCTGCCACGCCCTCCTGCGGGACCAACCGCCAACTCGTATGTCACTTCAACACTTTCACAGTTTCAGGAAATCTCTTCAAGCTTTCCAGCCCCTTAACAGGCAGCAATCACTTAAATCAGACCTGCTGGGCAAAAGAGGGCTGAGAGGGTTGATTTCATGCTCTTAAGATGTCTTGAGACCTGCCCGTCTTTGCCACAAGCGTGGTAGCTAACCTTATATAACCCCACTCAGGTCCCAGTCTCAGGGCTTCTGCATATCCAAGAGAAGCAATGATATTTTCCAAGTGCTTACTACGTAGCAGAAGAACATAACTTATTTCACGCATTGGAGGTTGAATTATTTCTCAATGGGATATTGGTGAGCCATGCTTCTCAAATTTCCACCCATACAGGGGTCACTCAGGATCCTACGAAAAAGCGGGTTCTGACTTAGCACATCTGTTGCGTGTTCAAAGACAGCACCTCTTTTTGGCAATGTTCACACTATTGATCTGCAGCCTAGCGCTCTTTAGTTATCTGATTCTGAGGTTCCCTGGCTGGCTGATCTTGGTGACATCTCACGAATACACAAATTCTTATTTAAAAAGAGCCAGAATATTTCCAAACTCTCCAGTCAAATGCAGTATAGAAAAAAGAACTTGACACTACCAATACAGCTTCCATAAATCCCTTTCTTAAGTGTCTTTCAGCCAATTTAATTCCCAATTGAGATTCCCCAGGCTAATGGACATTTAATAAATATTTGGTACTTAAAATGGATTTGAAGAATGCAGTACAGTAAGAAGGACCTGCTGGTTTACTTTTATCTCTTCAATGAAGCACTTAAAAAAAGGCAAAAACAACAACAACAAAAAAACTGCTTTGAAAGTACATACAGATCCCATGACATATGACTTTCACATTAACTCCCTGACTTGGGGGAAGCAGAGAAAGCAACTGAAGCTCAGGAAGGTCTGAAGTCTCGTGCAAGGTGGTAAAGCCCACAACCTGGAGTGTGTGATCATCACAGACTACCTCATGTCATGACAGAGCTGGGATCACAATGACAGCTCCCAACCCTGCCTATCCTGCAAATAAGCACGGTCATTTCTATTCCTGAATATTTTGTCTTTCAGGTAAAAAGTGAGGTATGGCTCGGGATGTTGGTTAGTGGTAGGTCCTGGGTTTGATTGCACACACATGAGCATGTGAGTGCACTACAGTGTGCAGTAATAAATACTGTCTGATCACCAACTCAAGGATTCACAGTCGTGGCAGGGATTCTGATATTCCAACTACTACCTTCCTTGCTCCCAGATCCCATCTAAATTGTAGGGTAATCATCATCCTAGCGGTCCCATCTGAATAAACTCAGGTAGGAAAGACCCACAGTTTCTTAGCATCTGTGGAAGCCATGAAGAAGGAAAGATAAACACTGATACTATTAACTAAGATTCAACTTCTCCTTGTTAGAAATTCATTTTTCAGATCTGAACCTCATATAGGTTCAAAGGTGTGTGTGTGTGTGTGTGTGTGTGTGTGTGTGTGTGTCTCACAGGCAGATCCTCAGTGAAGATAATGATTTATTTCTATCACAGGTATCTGCCCATCACTTTAAACTCTTGTTTTCCCTCTTGACATAAGTTTTCCTTTCTTTAGCCTCACTTTCTAACTATACACAGCTCTGGGCTCTCTCTCTCTCTCTCCTTCTTCCTACGGTGCCCAATACAGTAGCCAGTAGCCCTCCGTCTCATGAACGAGCACTGGAGATACAGCCTGAAAGAACAAGCTGTAAGTGTAACACATAAAATTCCATTTTCATATTAATTTGCATATATTAAAGTTTTTCTTATTTAAATTTTGGGGGTGGTGCTGGGCTACACCCAAAATGTTGGCTAGATCCTGGCTTTACAGTACTCAGGGATCACTCCTGGTGTTGCTCATAGGATGGTATGGGGTACTTGGTATTAAATCTGGGGTGGCCACGAGCAAGGCAAGAACTTTTCCTGCTCTGATCTTTGATTGTACATTTAAATATTATTTTAGATACTTTGGTTCTATAATATATTATTAAAATTAAATGTACCTGGGCTATTTTATCCCGGGAAAATCTGAAATTGCTCTCTCTTTTTTTTTTTTAATTAGTGAGACATCATGAGGTACAGTTGTAGACTTACAATTTTTTGTGCTTGGGTTTCAATTATACAATGATCAAATACCCATCCCTCCACCAGTGCCCATTTCCCACCACCACGGATCCCAGTATCCCTCCCACCCCCCCATTGCTCTCTACTTCTAACTGACACGGTTGCTCTTAGCCCTCCCCAGGCCTTTAGTATCTGTCCTCATGTAAACTTAAAAGTGGGCACAAGATCTTGTCAGGACCTCATCCAAGGTTAAGAATAAAGAGAGTATTATCTCATGTGTGGTACATTTTGGACTCTTGGAGATGCATTCCAGATTCATGTTCAGGAAAATAATGACCAACCTCCTCAGCATGCAGACGACATTCGATCAAGAGACTGCGTTTGCCCATCTTTGTGGACACTACTCCAGAAGCCTTCCTTCGCTCTTTGCTCTCTGCGGTGAGGAATCCCGTCTTCCTGAGTGGCTGCCTCAGTTCTTCAGTTCACACAAGTCCCTCAGATACCTGATCCTGCATTCCCAGGGGCCCTATTAATCCCTCTGGATCCACAAAGCACCTGGTACGACTGCTGGGGTTACTAAGCATCCTCTTTGGTTGTGAGCCAAAGAAACCCAAAATAAACTGTCCCTGGGCTAAAGAACAGCAGGAAGCCCTGGAGACAAAGACGTGGATGAACTCAACCTCAGGGTGACTGGTTCCTACAGAAATATTAGGAGTCTCTTCTGCTCCCCTAACTAGTCCAAGAGGTCGAAGACTTATCTCACACCCCGAAGCACCTCAACTTCTGAAACTTCAGCCCACCTTTCTGGTGACTTATACTGACCTCTCAGGGGACATTGGTTGGGGTGTGGTTAGCTCTGACACTAATGTATGGCTTCGGACCACACGTGGTGGTGCTCAGGGGTTACTTCTAGCTCTGCACTGAGGAATTACTTCTGGTGGTGCTCAGGAGATCATATGGAGTGCCAGGGCTCAAACTTGGGCATGCATGGCAAATGCCCTACCCACTGTACTATCTCTCCGACATCAGTGGTTAACTTCATTGGACTTCATATAAAGTTCTTCAATGCACTCCATATAAAGGTCTTTTATGACTCTGTGAATGCCGTTAGCATGAGTCAAGGATAAATTCTGGATGAGGGCTAATGGGCTAAAGTGGGGCAGCTCTGCCCACACTGCCCCCTGGAGAGTGGGTGGGAGGAGGGCTTTTGACTGCAAATGTAGATGGAGGTTAGCTTTTGACAGGGAGTTTTAGACGTGGATGAACTCTTAAAACAGCAGGGAGTTTTAACTCTTAAAACTACCACAGCATGCTCAAAATAGTCTCTGCTTCCACTGAGTT